GATGGACTTGAATATATTGATACACTTAGCAAATATGTATTGAGCTTATTTTTGTATGCCAGGCAGTTTCTTGGGCTCTGTGTATCTGACAGTAGATCAAGATTAAGTCCTGTGCTAATATAAACTTATGTTGAACAAGAAAAGTCAGAGTTAAGGAGGTAGGGAAGGGAGAATCTCTGGAAAGCCTCAATTGAGAAATTCTAGGAATGAACATTGTGTTTTTATCAATACCTAGGAGAACACTCCCTCTCCCAGAGAGTGAAAGTATGTATAACTTGATCACATTTACCGTATCTTCAATTTTAAATTGTAATCAACAGGAGTCTTGGATTTTCCTTTGTTAAAAACTATTGTTGTCTCTACCATAAGTGATATAATTTTTCCTCACGTGACTTCTCATCTCAAAACTAAGGAGCTAGACCATGTGAGAACTCGGGTTTTTCTTTTCTTTTAAGACTCTGAATTCAACAGAGCTATAATGTTGGAAGGATTTCATTTATTTCTCTATTCTTTCCAGTCCCCTGCCTTCCTACAAAGCACTCTGGGGTTGACATTTTGGTTTCTGTATCCACAAGTCCTCCTCACCATTGTGATATAGCTTGTGACATCATGACAATGACTGAAGGTCAAGCACATTTCCTGAAACACCACAATGCAATCTTCTAGCACTTTCTTCCTATTTAGGTCCAAGGAACTAGGAACTGGTGAGACTATCAATCACTGTGAAGGAATAAACAATACTGTTAGGTTTGTCTGCCTTGATCTTTCCCAGGTCATTTTTTAGCACAGTTCTTAAAACAGGAAGCTTTTATTTTTCTTAGTAGTGCTGCATTTGCCTTGCCAATAGGTAGAATATTGAGGAGATATGATTTTAGGACTCAGGAAATCAGATGGTAATGAGACAAGCTGAAACAAATACAAAAGAATTACACATGCAGGATGAGTATCATTATCCAAAGAGTTTGAGACCATAAGTATTTCAGGTTTGGGTTATTTTCAGATATTAAGATATTTGCATATAAAAGTCAACTTCTAAAATTCATAGAAATAGAATTGAAATATATGGATTTTATAGTTCAAAATAATTTTGAAATCTACATGTATCATAAGCCTTCCAAGGTTCCTGGTAAAATTGTATTATGAAAAAAAAACTATGCATATATTTCAAAAATATCTTCATTGAAATAAACATATTTTTAAAAAATTATTTTAAAGGCAAAGAGAAAGAGCAAATGAGAGAAAGAGAGAGAGAGAGAATATTCCATCTGCTCATTGACTCCTCAAATGACCATGATAGACTTGGCTAGACCAGACTGAAGCCAAGAGCCTGGAGTTCAATTCAAATACCCCATGTTGGTGGCAGAGACCCAAGTATTTGAACCACCTTGTGTCTCCTAGGGTGTGCTTTAGTAACAAACTTGATTCGAAGCAAGAGGGACTCATAACCCAGGCACTCTGATATGGGATGTGTCATACCAAGCAATATCTTAACTGCTCAGCCAAACACCCACCCCTAAACTTATCTTTTAATTCCACTTTCCATGAACTTTCTTAAGTATTTTTGCATATAATTAGATACCTTGAGAATGGCACCTAAGCCTAAACACAACATAATATTTGTATTTCATCACAACTTAGAAATAAGCCTGAAGGTGATTTTATATAGTTTTAATGCACACTTTGACCCCTCACAAGACATCAGGTGTGGAATTTTTCTCTTGTGGCACCATGTTGGTGCTCAAAATATTTCAAAATTTGAGCATCTTGGGTTTTCAAATTTGGAGTGCTCAACATATATATTGAGACAGAGATGGGGAGATAAGTGTTTCAGAAGAAACTTAAAGGTATACTATCTCATACCTAGCTTAACATGTCAGTTAACCTACTGGAGACACTTCTTCAATGCCAAGATTTGTACTCAATTAGGTGGAATTTGTATTTGTATTAAATGACACTAAGTGTCTACCATCCTGCACTTAACACCAACAGATAGTAGGGACCATGGTGGAATTGATCTGTGTGATCCTGGATTGTTCTTTCTGGATTAGATCTTGACTGGGAGGTAGCCCCAGCATTGCCCCAGGCAAGTTTATGTATAAACAAAAGAGAACAAATTGGCTGCCAATCAGGAACACATGGTAGGTCATGTACCTGGCAGGTAGTAATAGTCTCATTCTGCAACATGCATTGGTCCTGTATCTTTGCTCCTTTTCCCTATGCTATAAGGTTGAATGCAAGTTGATCTTCCTCTACTAAGTCTCTTTGGATCATTGCAGTCTGTGAAGATCATTGTTTTGTTTGAATTAAATACAAAACAGTTTGATTCATTTACCAATTTGGTTTGTTCTCTCTTGTAAACTGATGCTGTGTTTTCTTACAAATCTCTGTTTTGCCCATGCCTTGTCAGAAGCTAGAGTACCTGTTTTGATTTTCAACTTTGGAATTAACACTATATATTGAAGTAATTTAACAAAAATTGTTCAAGACAGCCTTTCTTGAGACTATCATAAAAAATGTTGACTTCCATCAAAATTTTAAAATATCTTGTTTTATCCCATTAACTCCATTCTTTTCATTTTTTTAAGGGAGCAACAGTATTCTCCAACTTTGTCTCCTACTTAGCCAATTAGTGGCTTCAATTTCATCCCTTATCATTAAGGCCTGTGCCTAGCAAAGAATTTGGCTCTAGTTACATCCTAGTTAGAATAAATTTAAGCTCTTTCTTTTCCTGAGAGAATTAACCATTTCTTTTACTAGTAAAGTGACAGATTTTGTCACCCTATGAAGAGTTTTACATGAGCAGTTTGCGGGACAAGAAAGAAGGTGGAGTGCTGGTGATGAAGGCCCTAACATGGGCCTATGCAGCCCAAACTGAGGGGTGTTAGACGTTGAGCTATAGAATCCTGGTGAGCTGTTATAACCAGCCAAACCCAGAACCAGTCACTTCCAAGGGGTCACCCAATGCAGACATTTTCCAAGAAGTATTTCATGTCAATACTTCAGGTATCTGCATCCTTTCAGTAACGGATGCTGGTTGTTGTTGGCTGCAGTGTTTCTTTTCCTAAGCAATGACTATGCTTCGTCTAGATAATCATAAAGGAAAAAGAGAATACTCATAGCAAAAGCCCACTTTACTCTTACTCAATAGAGAGCGTCTATCACAGGGGAGGAAAGTATTAAGGCAAAAAGTATATGTTGGCAGCTATCAAAACATCCTACGCCAGGAATCATTCATTAATGAAAGAAATGCATTCCTTACAGACTTAGTAGGATTTAGCAACAGTGTGGTTAAAATTTAGGAAAATCTATTACAAAAATTGTGAATTGGCGCCCGTGTTGTAGGATAATGGTTAAAGCTGCTGCCTATAATGCTGGCATTCTATACAGGTACTAGTTTAAGATCTGGCTGCTCCTCTTCCAATCCAACTCCCTGTTAATGCATCTGAGATAGCAGTGGAAGATGGCCCAAATACTTGGGTCCCCGCACCCATGTGGGTGATCCAGAAGTACTCTGGATTCCTGGCTTTGGTCTGGCACAGCCCTGGTCATTGCAGCCATTTGGAGAGTGAGTCAGAAGATGGAAGACTCTCTCTCTAACTCTGCCTTTCAAATAAAAAATAAATCTTTAAAAAGAAATGTGAATCTCACAAATAATATAATTATCCTGAATTATTTGATAAATGTGTTCTTATCTTATTCTTCATTATTAATCAAAGACATAAAATTTTCAATTTTGACTACTAACTTAAAAGACAAAGTAAAAATAAAAGTTTTGTTCCAAAAGTATGTGCATGTACATCATCTTCCTACTGCAGTAAGTTAGAATTATCTAGTTACTTTTAGATGTGTCCAGGGAATAGACTGTTGCTGAAATTTAATTTTCATCATTGCAGAGATCTTGAAGTCCAGTGTTTTCTGGATCTTCACAGCTGGGAAAATATTCTTCTTTCTCACATAATATTGAGAGAAATGTTTTCCATTCTAGAAAAATCTTCATAGAACTTCCTTTACATAGGATACAAAAAGGCCATTTCTATAACCCAGTGATCAGAAAGTAATATCAAGTAGCAAATCTTTTTGCTAAACCCAAGAGCTGGAACTTCACCAAGTATTCAGTAAGTGATGGTGTCATTTAATTGAGTGTGCAAGTATTCTTGGTGTTACCCAAGCAGGTGCTCTTGGCTCATCCTCATCAATAGTCGTTGTAACAACATAGTAAAGAAAGGTCAAGGCAGGAGCTGTCAGGGCACTGGAAGAAATGGCAAGTGACATTGTTCATTTAGGAGAAATATTAGCAGAATTACCACAACTCTACCTCTGAATAGGTCTTCCTATTTTTCAAGACCTGGAAAATAGCCAACTGTGCAGCCAAGCACAGCAGATCTGTTACTGGAATGCAGAGGTCTTGGTTTTCTAAAACAGAATAAATGTAAATATTGTTTTTGAAATGATTTCAAATGAAAGGTTTTCAATGATTGCCATACAAGTATTTAAATATTAAATTAAAAAGCTATGTTTTGCATACACATAATAGGGAGCTCATTCTGCATGATTAGATACTATGTCCTTAAGCTTTTCCCTTCCATTATCCACGTGTAATTGCCCTCTCTGTAGCATACTTGCAGCACCTTGCAGGGGGTTTTCTGTCCCTGTGACTCTCTTTCCAGCGTCAGCCTCCTAATCCCAAAGGGCTTTTTAAGTTCTACTGAACAAAACAAAAGTCTGGGGCTCTTCACACTCTACTATTGCTGTGGCAATGGCTGTCTTGCATATTTCATACTGAGGGACATGATGTAAAGCGATTTGTACTGAGTGAAATAATAAATAATAAATAAATAAATAAAGGTGCGCTCGCTCCTGAAGCTGCTTTGATCAAGTTAATTCAGAATTTGACAGAATCGAGGTATTTGATATTGTAACTTTAAAAATTAAATTTATGTTGTGTTTTGTTACAAAGCAAAGGAAAATCATGACATGCTTATATTTTCCTATCTACACAGGCCCAGCAAGACCATCACTATGACCGATGGGGACTATGATTATCTGATCAAACTCCTGGCCCTTGGAGACTCAGGGGTGGGGAAAACAACATTTCTTTACAGATACACAGATAATAAATTCAATCCGAAATTCATCACTACGGTAGGGATAGACTTTCGAGAAAAACGTGTGGTGAGTTAACCTTATTACTATCCTCCCATATAGAATAAGAATGAAATTGCTATGTTTCTTGCTTTGCAAATATCTATTATCACATGAAATCCATCATCTGTCACTTTAATTTTCCTTGGAATATTATTTACTACTTTTTCAATGATAAATAACATTTTTGGAATCAACTTTTCAACTATAAATAACATTTTTCAACTAAAAATAACATTCTTTGAAATATTTTCTACTTTTTTCAAGGATAAATAACATTCTGTCAGAAAAATATTGCGTGACAAATATTGGAGTGCTGTTGCCTCCAAATGCATGCTAGACAACTAAAATAAATAATTTTGGGACTTGTATGGTGTGTTTTCTATGAATCTTTTGGAATATTTCAAAGTTTTGATTTTTCAGAATCTAAAAACAGTAACTCTTTGAGTTAAATTATTCGATAAGAACAAACACTCATTTGCTTACTCTTAACAAAGAGGTTAAACATATGATTGGCAAATAGCTGGAACATGAGTTTTATCAGCTCTTGCTGCATTTTTTATTTATGTGTAGACTCAGCCATCAATCACTGGCTTATTATGAACAGAATGTGAGACCAACCATGCGATTTTCCAAGATAAGGGCATTTAAGTGAGAATCACAAGCACTTCCTGCTCCTATGCTAGACGCTAGTGACAGGAACAAGGATATTGTGACATGTGAGACGTGTAGCATAGGCACAGGCACATTGTCTCAGCCAGATTTACTGCCACCCAAGGTACACTTGACTGCCAACATGGCAGTGGCTTCCAGTAGATATCATGAGTCTATTCATTCCTTGAGGACTGGAAACAAAGAAAATGGTTGTTGGAAGACCATTACTGAGAAGTTGAGTCATGACCTCTGTAGCAGCCTGTACCTTATATAAAAGTCAATACATTGCAGTGTAGTCTTAGCAGACTTGCTCCCAGTCTCTCCTAAGCTGTCCTGAGTTCTTCCCTCACCACCCATGGTCCACAGTGATCTGGGTGTAAGTCCCAGCAAAATCTTCCCTTGCAAACATTTTCATTAATCCATACTTGGGGAGCTAATTAAAGATTAAAATGGGTCGCTTTGCTTAAGCTGTAAAAATGGTAGAATTTTTTAAAAAGCAAACTTATCTTTAAAAAGGCTTTGAAGGAATGGTTAGTAAAGGAAATCTGGAAATGTACTGTGTCAACTTATTCACAAATTCTGTGCATATTTCATAGCTAAGTCGTTTTAAAAGTCTATTTCACAGTAAAAGTTATTCAGTTATTTGCAGAGTACTTTGCTGTTTTTTTTTAATTATCCTATCTTTTATTGCATTTGAGTTTGAAGTTTATAATAACGCTGTAAAATAGGAAGACACTATGGATCTCAATTTGTAGGTTAAAAAGTAGAATTCGAAGAGATTAAACGAAAAGTTGATATTTGAACCCAGAACTTGGGTCCTAACTCTGATATTGGCTGCCTCTGTGAGGAAATGACAGAAGGTGTCTAATTTAAGTCTGCAGCATGCTTAAGTTGTGTTGAAAATCATACTTGTACTTGACATTTAAAAGTGAGAGTATATGTGATACTTCTGGGAAGAAATAGAGCAAATATTTATTCTGCACTATGAACTTTGAGTATAGTAATCAAGAAAAAACATAATGAACTTAGAGAACTTGAATGTGGACAAAATCCAAAGCAATAGTAACTGATGGAAACTGTATCTTTCAGGTTTATAATACTCAAGGACCAAATGGATCTTCAGGGAAAGCATTTAAGGTGCATCTTCAGCTTTGGGACACTGCAGGACAAGAACGGTAAGAATCCATCACTTTGTAGATACATAGAGCTTAGAGCAACTTATTTCAAAGTGAATGATATATGTGAACTTGAAAAGACATGAGATGCAACTCTTCTTCGGGTTTCAGGATAGACATTTGTGCCAGAAAATAAAATAAAATGATTTCTAGTTAACAAACCATTACTGACATTGTGTAGTTGTTGCAGATTTCAAAATCAGATTTTCAAAACTGTCCATGAGGATTTTGCATATGCCTGATCATTGCACTTTCTAGCACAAAAAAAAAAAAAATTCTCCAGAGTTCAATTGAATGAAGATGGAAAATTAACACTGCTGTACTTACTACTTAAAGAGGGAGTTAAAGAAATGGCATTGATCTTGCTTTTTCTTTGTGTTCTCCACACAACCTCTTTGTCCCATGCCATATGACGCCATTTGTCCCATGCATTGAGCACACCATTGGCCTCCAGTTACAGCCTTTTACTTCCCTCCAACCTACTTTCTCTGATGCTCTGCTTTCATCAGGCCCACTTCAAATTCTACCTTGTCTGTGAACACTCAACAAAAATGCATCTTCTTCTAAACTCCTATGACACCTCTCCTACCACCCTTAAATTACTAAATTTAAATAGTCATTTTGCCATTGGATTATCGTTCATAGCCCTTGTCTGCATTTCTGCAAGACTGGGTCTTTTTGCTTTTTACTTGTTGAACTCTCTATTTACTGGAGCAGTAAGCCCTTGACTGCAATGTGAGTTGCAGGTATGTTATCTTAAAAGTGAGGGGGAGAAGAGGGAAAAGGAGAGGGAGGAAGGGAGATGTTATATTCTCATAACTATATCTTTGAACTGTATTGAACCTGTTACAAAATGAAAAATTAAAACTAAAAATAAATAGATTATATACTACTTAATAATAAGGTGAATCTTCCTTATTTCTGTCTGACTGGTATTCATTGATTCACCTGTCCTCCCCATTCCAGCTTTGTAAGGGCAGAGACCTTGCCTGGTTTTTTGGCATCTTCTTTTGTATAATATTTGAGATAACAGATTCTCAGTAGACAGTAGTATTAATGACTTCGAGCTGGAGGTAACATTCCATTATTCAGTGAAAATGGGTTTCTATAGGATGCAAGGTTGCAAAGTGCTACAGACTCCATGGAATGAAGCTTTTCAGTATTAGATGAAATTAAAAATGGCAATGGATTGGCAGAAATGCTATTTAGAAAGCACATACCTCCAAATTCTGCATCGTATGTCTTAGAATGCTTCTGCTTGTAAACACTTGCTTTTTGAAATGCATCCAAAATGTTCTCACTTTTGCTAAGTGTAAACGCCAGGAGAGGTGCTGGGCCTCTCTGTTAGCTTTTCTGACTGTGAATCCATTTACACACACCCTTCAACACTGCTGGTCCCACTGCAGTCAGTCCTCACAAGAGTCTCTGTTCATATGTCAGTTTTGTTGTCACAAAGATGTATGTTTTACAGACCAATTTAATCTATTTTTGAAGAAGTAATCTGAGAAAATGTGAGCCCCATATGTCCTCACACATGATATGTCAGCCTAGTGTGATGGCAGGCTTCTCTCATCTGTCCCCTTATGACAGCTGTGCCATGAGGGAAATGGGAAATCCTAGGGGCAGCCTTTGGCAGGCTTAGATTATTCACCCCTTGAGAACTGTGCATTCTGTATATGTAAGGTGTAGCTAGGCAACAAGAGAAACAACACCTCACACCTCCATCCCGGGCCTGAGGGCATCTGGCAGTAGAATCCATGGTAGGTAATGGTTACTGATGAAAACCACATTGGGGGAAGAAAGAAAAATCACATAATCCTTATGTAAACCTACAGGATATGAGAACAGTGTTAGCTCTCAGTAGGGGAGACAGAATGATAAGGTGGCCCTGTTTCTTTGTGTGGTCCTAGCTTTTCCCTATTCTGAGCACCCATACAACAGAATAACATAGGTGGATGGACCTGGAAGTCTACTATTTTTCTCCCTGGGAGCATCAGGTGATAAAAAGGATACCAGGCAGAATGGTCCAGTGTGTAGCCTGGTCTAGAGCATGAGGGCTCTGTGCTGCTCTGAATGGAAAAATGTTTGTTCCAATAAGACCCCTACAAGAAGCATGTTTTTGCACAATTGTCCTGTACTATGGGCAATGACAGGGGAATAATACATAGTCTGATCCTCAAATGAGACACACATACATCAGCAAATCAACAAAGTAGTTTTCTTAGATATGGCACCATTATGGTTGAGTAGGAGACAATTTTCTGGGTACAGCTCGTCTCTGAAGGAGCCATCATTCAATGTACTGTAATCTCTGTGGGCTTCCATGGTAGAAACAAATCCACAAGCAAACACAAATGAGTCAATTTTTAATATTTTCTAACTATATTTTTAGATCATGATAATGTCCTACAAAAGAAATCTTACATTGAAATAAATAGTAGTTAGTATTTCTTCTCCCTGCTGTGGTATTCAAAGAATAATTCCTTATTGAAGTCATTGCAAGTCTTTAATACTTTTTTAAATCTTTTACTATTCTGTTTATTTCTCCTACTCTCTTTAATTTCACAAGTGTTTAGGAAGCAAATACCAAGTCCTGGGCTATGATAATATAATAGATACATGTTAAAAGCATAGTTCCTTTCCCCTTATAACTTAAAGTCTAGGGTGGAATATGGACAAATAATTATAAGATAGTTTTAGAGCAGTAACAAGGAAACAGAAAGTGATATGTAGGCTCACCAGGAACAAATCACCCAGATGTGGCTATGGGGAAGGCTCCTTGGAAAAGTGATGTTTCCTCTGGTCCATAATGTAAATACGCATACTCACTGTAGAAGTGACTGTTATACAGACTACAGGATAGGGGCGGAGAAGTAGGAAGAATTAAGGAAATGTTACCCCAGAAAGACCAGCAGGTGCAAAATCCCAGGGTAGGGGAGTGAACTTTCTAACAACTAGAGGAAGATTAGCGTGCCTGTGAGTAGTCACAACGTGAAGCTGGATAAATGAGCAAGGGTCAGTTCCTGAGGAGACTTTGACAACTGATTAAGGAGTTCAAGTTTTATCTTAAGGATAATGCATAATTATTAAAATATTCTAGTAGAGGATTAATAATGATAAGTAGTCCAGGGTTCCCAAAAATCAGGCATAGGAAGTCTAATGAGAAGGGTGTTGAAGTTATTTGGACAAGACAAAATAAGAGCGGTAGCAAAGGTAGATGGACAGAAATAAGGTCAAGAGATCTGTATTGAATGGATGTGGCAGATGAAAAAAAAGGGATTATGGCAACTAGGAGGAGGAAGAGGATACCATTGGCAGAAAAAGAAATCAAGAGGGGGAACCAGTTTGGTTTTGAACAGGTGAGGTTGGAGGTGCCTGACTTTCCTCCAAGTAGAAAGACCCAAAAAGTAATTAGATACAAAATGTGGAAACCAGGAAAGATCTAGATCTAAACATTTTGGCTTCCTCAATACCAAGGATATGGTTGAGCCAGGGAAGTGGATGAGATCATCCAATGAATACATGTAAAATGAGAAGGATCAGGACTAGAACGCTGATGAAACCAACACTAAGTTTCTACAAATGGGCTAAAAATAGGAGACCAAAGAATTAAAAGGATATTTAGGATAGGTAGTGGTGCCCCTCCCTATTTGAAAGTTAAGTGGCTTCCTAAAAACCCACTACCAAATTCGGATTTTGGTCCTTGTGGATAGTCTCTGCTTTTGCCCATTGCTAATGTCAGAGTGGATCTCAGCACGTGTTCATTGTCACTGAAGATATTAGTGGGCAGGAGGAAGAGCAAGGCACTAGACGTCTTTATTTACTTTCTACACAGCAGAAAAGATTCCACAAAATCCCTCAGTAGAAATGAATGTTCTCACTGTCTTTCCTCAAGTACTGAGCCATGATGTCTCTCAGCTGATTTGGCCCTCACCAGAGCTGAGCCAATACTAGTCCACGCCCTTGAACCTCCAAAACTGTCTGCTAAAACAAACAACAGACAAAAAAGAAACGCTTTTCTTCACAAGTAGTCTCCTTCAGGTATTTCATTATAGTGATGAAAAGTTTGACTAACCTAACAGTTTATAGCTGAATCTGCTCACTGGACCCTTCTGCTGCCTTTGTGACCAGTCTCTGCGTGATAATTCATAAGGGCCGGCTGTGGAGGCTTCATCTTTGAAAGGGAAGTTGTGTTATCTTCGCTGTCATCTTGAGTACCTGGACTAACTTTCAGAACCTCCCTGTGCTTTGTTGGCAGGTTCCGGAGCCTCACCACTGCATTTTTCAGAGATGCCATGGGCTTCTTATTAATATTTGACCTCACCAGTCAACAGAGCTTCTTGAATGTCAGAAACTGGATGAGTAAGTGGGATTGAGTAACGTGAGAGATACCATCAGATGGGACACCACAACTTACTTTTGGAAAACAATGAGTGTAGTATTTGTTTTCTTTACACTGGCAACATGATGGCCTTTATGTGGGTCACTCAAGGTGGCTAGGAATTGCATTTTCCTTTGACACTCTTACTGTAGATGTCCAGTGTGTCTTTATCAACTCCTAGAGTTCAGATTGTTACTATTATTATTCAAAGACCATTCATTCCACTTGTTGGGATGGCTTAAAGGACTTCTTAAAACTGAGTCCTCTATCTGCTACATCAAACCTGGAGAGAGCATAGTGAAACTCAACAGTGCTTTTGGAGGGGGGACACAGGCACCTAGTATGTGTTCATGGTCTAATGGGTTAACCAGGCAAGAAAGTACTCCAGAACAGACATGGCAGTGAGGATAAAAGCAGCATGTTGGTCAGCTGACACTGGACTTTTACTTTAAAATAATTCAAATGTGAGGAAGCTTGTATAGAAAAATCTCTAGCTTCCATGACAGTGTCAATATAAAATTCAAATATTGTCAAATCAATTACTGAAGTCAAATTGATATATATCAATGGGAGTATTAGAATTTTATTTTATTTTATTTTAAGTTTTTTTTTTATTTGAAAGTTAGAGTTACACAGAGAAGAGAGGCAGAGAGAGAGAGAGAGGTCTCATCCGATGGTTCACTCCTCAATTGACCGCAATGGCCGGAGCTGCGCCGATCCAAAGCCAGGAGCCAGGAGTTTCTTCCAGGTCTCCCACACAGGTGCAGGGGCCCAAGGACCTGGGCCATCTTCTACTGCTTTCCCAGGCCATAGCAGAGAGTTGGATCGGAAGAGGAGCAGCCGGGACTAGAACCGGCACCCATATGGGATGCCAGCGCTTCAGTTAACCCTCTGAGCCACAGCGCCAGTCCCTAGAATTTTATTTTTAATCATTATAGCACTGAAGGAATATTTTATTCATATTTTTATTGCAAATAAGAATTTTGACATCTAGGGGATATACACATGTTGGCACCAATGAATTGCTAGTGGTTCTGAGACTGCTCTTGTCATTTCCAGATTTGCTCTGGCTGTCTTGACCAGAATAATACTTTTTTTGAAACAAGATCATGTTGTTCTGCTCAAAGTCCTTCTGTGACTTCTCTCTCACCTGGAATAAAACACAGAGCTCTTCAATTCCCTACAAGGCCAGTGGATTAGGCACTCAGCCTTTCTAATTCACTCCCAGTAGGCTCCCAGCTCAGTGTCAGCCAAGCAGACTCTCATGCTGTTCCCAGAAGGAGTAACACATGCCCGCTCTGGGCCTTTGTCCCCTGATTCTGTTCTCTGTCCTGATTATTCTCCCAATTACAGACATGTGCGGGGTCCTGGGCTCCCTTCAAGCTTTCCGCCACACCTCCTTTATCTCTTTAAGAGACGTTTGCTGACCAATCACCTCATCTAGAATAGTACTCTTCTGTCACTGCCACCCCCTGACATAATGTGGATCTATTTTTTCACTCTTTCCACCACTAGAATGTAAGCTCTTTGAAAGTTCAGATTTTCTCTATTTTCTGTCATTCTATACCTTAGACTGTGTGAGAGCCTGGCACAGGGCAATTTCTTAAAAATATAAGGTAGAGGCCGGCACCGCGGCTCACTAGGCTAATCCTCCGCCTTGCGGCACCGGCACACCGGGTTCTAGTCCTGGTCCGGGCACTGGATTCTGTCCCGGTTGCCCCTCTTCCAGGCCAGCTCTCTGCTGAGGCCAGGGAGTGAAGTGGAGGATGGCCAAAGTGCTTGGGCCCTGCACCCCATGGGAGACCAGGAGAAGCACCTGTTTCCTGCCATCGGATGTGCACGGTGCGCCAGCCGCAGAGCGCCAGCCGCGGCGGCCATTGGAGGGTGAACCAACGGCAAAGGAAGACCTTTCTCTCTGTCTCTCACTGTCCACTCTGCCTGTCAAAAATAAAAAATAAAAAAATAAAAAAAATATATAAGGTAGAATCATACCTCAAAAAATCCATGGAAAATGAAATTAGAAGATTTTCATCTTGCTGCAAAAAATCCTGAAATCCATGCATAGTTTCTACAAAATATGCACTTTCCTGGCCTTTTTGAAGTGTCTGTATTTCATACTACATATCATATAAGACAAATAATATATACATGACCACTTTCAATGTGAGTTCAGTGATGCAGTAGCAAACAATGAGGGAAAATATCACAAATTCTGATTTATTAAATTGCTTGTCCCAACCAATGTTTATCCTAGGATTTGTCTTTATTACTTTTTAATATTGTATATCCTTATCCAAATTGTGGTGGTATTAATAGATTCTGAGGAAACAAGGGGATAATAAGCTTGTTAGGTTCTTTCTGAGAATGTGTTTGTTTATCTTTTTTCAAGGCAGATGAGACTCTACCGTGCTTTTATAAGTCTCCAGACAGATATTGTAAGGATTTAAAATAATTAATTGCCATGACTAATAACACTTTAATTTCTAGCACCCAAACAATTTGTATTGCAGGCTAAGCCTTTGCTGTCTACCTCTGCTTCAGCCAGGTAGCACATAGCCTGCCTTAAGACGGGAAATCTTGCTTTCCTTCTTCCCTGCCTCCCCTCCCCTCCCTTCCCTTACTCCTCCCCTCTCTCCTCTAACCTTAGAAAAGAAAAAAGCAATTTGCCCATTTTAAAATTGTTTCTCTGTGATTCATGGTGGTTCCAAAATGGTCTACTCTCTAGATCATTGCTTTGGACATCAGGACGGGGAAATGTAGTAGCTTCTTCAAGGAAAAGGCAAATTACAAACCTTAAACATACTACTTCCACTTAGATTTGAGGATCAGTTGGCAAGATGCAGCATGCCCATCTGAGAGGGCCTTTCCCCAGATGTGGAAGAACATGACCAGGTGCTGAGACAAGGGGCTTCTCACTTGTTATTAGTCATCTTACAGATGAGGAAACTAAGCTTGAGAAGAGTGAGTGACTTGGCTGATATAACTAGTCAGCAACCAAACTGCAGATGAACAATTAAGTTAGCAGTCTGGAATATGAGCAGTCATTTGACATCACTTGTTTATAACTAACTTGCTGGCTCCATCTGCTTTCTTTCCAAGGCCAACTGCAAGCAAATGCTTATTGTGAGAACCCAGATATAGTATTAATTGGCAACAAGGCAGACCTGCCAGACCAGAGGGAAGTCAATGAACGGCAAGCCCGGGATTTGGCTGACAAATACGGGTGAGTCAGTTACACTGAGAATCAGCTACCAGTGGAGCAAGACACAGACTGATGTCAGGAGGAAACCCCTTGAATAGAGAATAGTGTGTGAATTTAAATGATCTTCCATAGGAATGTATGTAATGTTTTCATGAATTACTTTTACCTAACGTTTATAGACTGCTTCTCTGTTAACAACTATTCATAGAGCTTAACTCATTTAACCTATTAGAAGCATCCAGAGGAGATAATAGAGTGATCCACTTTATATATGAAGAATTGAGTTACAAAGAAATTAAGTAACTGATGGAAGGCCACATACTGAGAGCCGAGCTTAAATTCATTCCAGACGATCTGAGATCAGCACTCAAGCCGTTAAACATTATGCTCCATGGCTTCGAAACCCTGAGAAATAATACCTCACAGGGATAAAATAGTGCAATCCTTATCCAGCTGAGCCTGAGTAGCAGCTAAAAAAAAACCCTCCAAACCCAAACCAAGCCACAAAAACCCATGTAATTATAAATTGACTTCCATAGCAGAATTTGTCCTTGCTTTTTAGTTTGAAGTAAATTCATATCTGCAAGTTTTTTACTGAATGATCCTTGAGAGATTTGGCTTAAACATCTCATCATAGAACTTCTTATTCCAAATAAGCATAAACTGTATTCACATGAATACCCCTATTTAATTCACACACATTGCTGAGTCATATTTCTAGATAATAGATTGGAAGGGAAGTAATATTTTAGTGGTATAATCACCAATAGGCATTTTTTCCTTCTACTAGAAGAAAACAGTTAACAATTATAATGTCCAGATTTCAAATTCCTGACCACCTCCCATATCATTTTCTTTGCCTAGAAAAGTGGTTATATAAACATCCTAAAGGGCAGTTCACCATTTTTTACTCACAGAGAAAAAGTGAGGATGCTTATTAGTTCTTTTCTGATTTCTTCATTTCTTAAATTTTTGCCATCTTTTCTATGTTAGCATACCATATTTTGAAACAAGTGCAGCAACCGGACAGAATGTGGAGAAAGCTGTAGAAACTCTTCTGGACTTAATAATGAAGCGAATGGAACAATGTGTGGAGAAGACACAAGTTTCTGACACTGTCAATGGTGGGAATTCTGGAAAGCTTGATGGGGAGAAGCGAGCAGAGAAGAAATGTGCCTGCTAGACTCTACATAGGAACTGATAATCAAGAACCCTACCCAAATATTACTTTTAAACACAACAGCAGACCACAAAATTGTTGTTGAGTAGACCATGCACAATGATTTATCTTTGTTTTTCTGCTAGAAAATTTATTTTAAGAAACCAGAATAGTCAACAGTGTTCAAAAGAATTGACCAGTTATCCTTGAGGCCCCTCCAAACAAGATCAAAGATTTCCTAAGGTGATCTCACCATCATGGATGTTCCATTTTTGTTTTCAAAGAAAGAAGATGAGTACATAAGAGAGTAAACAAGAGGAAATATCTGTGAGTTTTGCAGTAAGTTGGAACAAAAATGACCTTGTCACATTGGAGAAGAGGATAGGCTACCATAGGGAGAACATAACTTTTTTTAAAAGGTTGGATTTATTTATTTTCTAGAATCTGATTATTACTTTCAGATTTGCATTTGGGAAAACATATTTGCTGAAATTGGAAACATAATGAAGAATTCTATGAGATTTATTAAGAATGACATACCTGTGTACACCCAATAACTGTACTAAGAATGATAGAATTACTAATAAGGTCGTGAGTGGGTGAATGTCACACTTGCACTAAAATGTAGTACATTGTGTAATAATGTCATTTTTATATTCTTAATAAATGGCATATAGACAAGAACAGGACTGTGACTGACAAAGTACAAGAGAAATGCCCTGGAGGGAAAAATGAAGTATGGGAACATGGCATTTGGACAGCTGAAATTAAATGTATCTGTTACAGATGTCTAAAAGAGTTACTTAGCCAAATTTCATTCAAGCCAATTAGAAGCTGACATTCTGAGTTGGGGCTAAGAGACTCTCCAAGGGTTTCCATTTCAAACAAAATTTTAGAAATCAATTTGGGTGGTGTTAGCTTTGCATTTCATTTTTTTTTTTTTTTAGCAAATGTTGATAAGTGTCACAAAGAGAAATTCACTGTTGCTGTTCACTGAATATCTCTTTTGAAAATTCTGTCAAGAAAAATTATTTAGCCTCATAAGTTGTTAAGATGAAAAATGCTATTAATATGAAACAAATAGCAACTATTAATTATGAATTTTATTTTATTTATAAATGTGCTAGAAACCCTAACACATTTATTCTCCCCAACCCATACCCATGCCTGGGTTTGAATCAACCACAGAAATACAGGCTTTTCACTTGGTAGAACAACAACTTGGTAACACAACAACAATAATGATGGATCAATTCTATGATCACTCTGATTTTTCATGTCATTAATCATATAGAATTAGTGATACCTCATTCTGTATTACACTATGTTTTCATTTTACCTAAGCCTTTCATTGAACTATGTTTGGGTGGGGAGGGAAAATATCTTATCTCAGCAAAATTTTGATCAATTATTTGATCTTTCACATAAAGCTACCTTTTCTTCTGAAAACCATCACATATGCATTTTCTATTGGCCTTATCTTACTGTTGTGTCTAAACTAATATGACATTACTTTTTATCTTAGTTTCTGATACACACAAGCCATACCAATCAAAATATTATTTAAACATGTCAGTTTTATCAATAACAAAGGCAACATAGTTCAAGTTAACTCTTTTTTAATGAATATGTTATTTTTGATGTGGCAGTTCTTTTCCTATAAAGTTTTTGCAAAGTTAATTTTTCTGTACTCAGTGCATATTTTTTAACTTATAAAAATGGGAAACCCTAAAATTACAGTCCCCTCTTCAACCTCTCCCTATAATCTCCTTCTACCATTGAATCAGTTTCAGAAACACAGACAAATCCAAAGGAGTATCTGTTTATAATTCTTAGGATGGAATAGATCCAGAAATGTGTCAAGCATCAGAACAATTTGGAAGCTTTTATGGGATTAGTACCCAGCAAAATTCTCAGTTAACTGCCCAGCTCCTCTGATTTTTGTAACAATGTGCCAGCTTCGCAGATCAGTGGTGGCTGGGTATTCCAGTGGTGTTTCCTTAGGTATGCTCTTGTGACCTCAATGCCTGTGACAGGAAGACAGGATGTTATTAACTAACATTTATGTTGTTTCATCTTAGAGCAAATAGAAAAATATAACCATTTCTGGGCAAAATTTGGTGAACTTTTGTGGACATTCTTTCAAATTCTTCGTTGGGCTCAGATTGTGATGTCCCTAGCATTTCCATAATAAGGAATGCTCAGGCTTTTATAAAGCCCTCAAGGTATTCTATTTTGACATGTCTTTTGCTTCTATTTATTTTCCAGCTATATGATTGATTTACTTATGCCAAGAATCTGTCATTGTCAGTTATTTAATGAATATTTTTTCAGGGTTTACTTTAAAATTGTTAGTTGATAGCTGTAGCACAAAGCAGAGAATGCCCATGATTATGGAACTCTGCCTATAAAAATAAGTTATTGGGTAAAAAGAGAAGAGATTTAAGATATCATTCTATTTATAAATAAATGCTTGATCTAAAATGTATTTTCCCTGTAAAATTTGACATCTGACCCAAAATTACATTTAACCATTATTAAAAATTCCTTCTTTCATTATTTCAGGATTCATAGTTCTATGTAATTTGTTTTACAATGAAAATGTATCTGGTGCCATTTGTATACTGACTGCTTTAAGGGATTCCATATTCCCTCCGTCTCACAAATGCATGCATTTTTAGTCAAGCTGTGTCCTGTTGCTGATCATCTCTCCAATACTAGAGTAGATCATCTTGTAGGAAATATTTAAAATGTATGTGACACTCCTTTCTGTTATAGGAACCATTTCTAGAGTGTTTACACAGATTTGATGTTTACATTGCTCTAACTCAGTGCCTCAGATACCTCTGTGACCAAATCTGTTTCCAACCATATAGCTCATTTCCTCTGATTGTATATTATAGGAAGGACTCATAGAGACATCAACACAGCTTAAGGTCTTATAAAATCTTCAGAAAAGGATGCAAGGATTTTATTGGAATCTAGAGGTTATGACCATCTTTTCTTGATCCCCTAACTAATGGAGTGGGCATTATTGCAGAATTTTAACTATGATTAGTTACAAAGTTAACTTTTAATGTAAAAATGTGTCAAAAATAGTCCAGAGAATATAATGCTTGTCTTGGTCTGATGATGGTAACAAGTCATGGATTTTCAGAGAAAATTCTGAATGCTAGGAGTTGAGCTTGTCTTTCTGTAACCATTTTAAAACTCATGCCAGTTACACTCCAGCCAATTTGCTGTCATTTCCATTTTATCATCTACTGCACTGCAAAAAAACCAAAACCAGCATTTTCTAAAGTAAATATTTTATCTTTTACTTTTAAAGAGATGGGCCAGTCTGTATCAGTGGATATCTTCTACTATAAATTGTTCTTTGCCAATCTGTACAAATAGGTTAAACTGGACAAGAGTTTTAATCAGGCTTCCATTGTTCCTTTCGATGACAGAGAAACTTACCACAGAAAAAGACATGACTACATTAAAATTAGCACAACAACCACAATGTTCTTTAAGCTATAACTTGAGTCCACAGGGAATCAATAAGTTGTAGGAAGCCCATATATCTTCTCACCAATGAAGTGAGGGCAGCAGTTAGATAGAGAAACACTAGGCATCATTTGTCATCTGGAAACTTGTGTCCATGAAACAAGTGCTCCATTTAAAGTACACATGGGACCGGTATTTAAGCTAGTGGTTAAGACACCTGTTAGGATGCCTACATCCTACTTTGCATGTGTTTTATGCCTACATCCTACTTAGCTGTGTTTTATGCCTCTCTGCTCCTGACCCAGCTCCCTAGCTGTTGCAGGCATTGGGGAGTGAAACAGAAGATGGTTTCTCTTTCTCTCTTTCCCTCCCCCTCTCATGTTTCTCTTTATTGGCCTCTTAAATAAATAAATGAAAAAATTTTTTTGAAAATGACACATGTGCTGTCCTAGTTGTATATCACACCATAAATTTGAGGGAAAATCCTCATCTATGAAGGATTTTGAAATCTTAATAGGAACTCAAAGCATAAAGAAATAATATTTCAAGTCTGATTTCCTAGGATATATAATAACTATTTGAAAGGAAGATCTAAGAGCTGATGTGAGCCAAAGTTACAATACAGCTGCCTTTAACCCTCTCCTACCAAACATTAAAGCATTAGAAGAAATAAGTGTAGTTGAATATTTTAGATAAAACTTTTATTATTTTTTAAGATACAAGATGCTGTAAATATTTGAAATGCTCATTGTAAGGTATATTTTTTTCTTGAACTGTGAACAAGATCATGCAAGCTTATTTCTGGGAAGAAAATGAGTTCTTGAACATGAATGCATATAGACTATTATCTGAGTGTTGTCTCAATGCTTAAAGCCAAGATGCTGCTTGTCTCATAGAGTGGATACAAAATCATTGTTGGATATGTAAAGATTTTTACATAACTTACTGCTTTAGCATTCTTGGTTATAGACCCAGTCACAATGATATTGTTGGCCAAGAACTATAGATAAATAAGAGTTTAAAAGTTATCTAAATTATGCTCTTAAATACAAAAGGATATGTAGATGGCCATACATATATGATTTTTAGGTAGATTTTTAAAAGGCTTGGTAACAGTTTTTCTAACTACATCCATGGCAAACATTTATTCATTATTTTTATCTGTAGAGGTGTAGGCCCTTAGAACTAAGCTAATAAAAACAAACATCAGATACTTAATTGTTAACATCAGAATTTGGAATCTTGGAAACATTTTTGTTTATTACATATAAATCCAATTTTCCCATAAATTTTATATTTGATTAATTTTCAAGAGCCCCAAAGACTCCTTTCTGTAGTATTCTTTGTACCAACAATCAGGTATTTTCCAACTTCATTTGTGGAGAGAAGATCACTAATGAAAACTAAATGAAGACTTTGGCACCAAAAAAGTGATACTATATAAAGGAATATCATTTTGGGGAGGAAAATATACAACGGAATCATCATTGGACTTAATGGTTTAGTGGTTTAAATTTGATTTGCTTGTACCTTCCCTTCCCAAGAGGTCCTGGGAGTTGTAACCAACAACCCTAATTGACTTAGTCTTTAAGAATCATTAGCAAATTCTATAGGAGCCGGCACATCTGATCTTAACCTATTGGATCACTTATTTAACCAGTGGCTACTATCCTTATGTCTGTTGGCACATCAAAATAGTATCTGGCTTAGCAAACAATGTATGTATGCTTATTCCTACTCTGTTTCTAGGTGATTTTTCTTTTCAAGTATACTTTGAAAGAAAATGTACTGTCAAACAGAAAAGTCACCAGAAGGAACAATTCAGCGTCCATGGGACCTAAATAGATTAGTGGCTTCTCATGGAATTTGTAAACCCTGTGTGTTCATGGGATTCATGCCACATTCAAAGGAGAATCTGTATAAGAAAGGGATTTGTAAATTATGTTCCATGCCATAAAAACACTATTATCATAAGCTGTGAGTGAATAAAACCATCACAGACATCATTTAAACCACTTATTCGTTACAAAAGTCTCAGACCAGGGACAGCACACTTATTTTAATACAGGTGTTGGAAACTACAATTGGACAGTCACCTTAATGTCATTGTATTCGATTGAAAATGTTTAATACATCTTGTTATTGGAAAAATTTTGAGTTCTATTTCAATTTGTATGTATCTTGTACTTTTTTAAGGAAACCAATTTCATTCTAGATAGTACATTATAACCCAGTAAAAATCCTCCTTGTGCAAATAGGGCTTTGTATCCATAACCTTGTAAAAGACACTAATTATATCTGAAATTATTTTTAAAAATAAATTATCCTGCTCTCACTGATATGTTAAAAGCAGACAGCATTCTAACATAACACTGAATTGTTTCACTGTACCTCCACAGTGTACCTTTAAGTAATGTTGTCCTCACTTTTAAGCCAAGCATGTTTTGTCTAGTGCTATTAATGTAATTTAAGACTTTTAAACATGGAATTTTTATTCTATATTCCCCTGAATAAACTGTGGTTCCTGACAAATACTGTTAGGTAATTATTTTGTTGTACCAAAGTTCTAATGACTACAGAAATAATAGCATCCAATGATTCTGTGGTGTATGGGTTTGAATATTATGGTTGAGAACTGTATTCAGTGATTGTTTCTTGCACACTTTTCAAATAAAAACTGCATTTTTATCAATTATCTTGCGTACTCAAAACAACTATTTATTGAAATTGAATGCCTAGTGTTTGGGGAATATGAAATCAGTGTCAGCATGGGACTTGTATCACATTAAAAATGAGATCCATTCAGAAGTAGGAAATAAGTAGTCTGAACTCAGACAAGTGATTTTTATCCATGTCTCTAACCTTATTATCAAAGACTGGACTTTGCAAATAAAACTTTCTAATAATTTTGATGATGTATTTATTAAAATTAGCAGTTGAAGTATTCTATGGTACATAAACTCTTCCACATATTAGCACCTCTTTTTAGTCCCATAACTACAAAGCTTATGGTCTCTTCCTTAGAGATTGGTGTGTCTGGTGTTCAAGACCACAACTGTACAGCTTCCTTTCAAATGTTCACTTGCAAAGGCTGCCTTGTTCCCAGAGCAGATCTTCCTCCATATGTTCCTTAGATAGGCTTTGCCAAGATAATGATGAGTTTTTAATTTAAAGATAAACAACACTCCCACTGCAAGCAAATAAATCCTTGGCACCATTCTCTCAACTTCACTCCCCAGGAGTAGTAATGCTGTTTCACAGAGGCAGAATCTTTTGCCCACTGGGTTCATCCTAAATAATTCAAGATAAATCACTAGGAGCTTGCTTCCCCTAATGGTTTTATAGGATTTTTTAAAAGTCATAGCATGCCCCATGTTGAGGAGAAAGAAAGATACAGCAGCCTGAAATCCACTATCTGAAATGATGAGATTTCGATTTTTAAAACTATATGCAATGTTTGCATTCTTCACAGGGCTCTCTACCATGGAGAATTTCATTTTTAATATGGATTGCTACTTGTGGAGAGAGAATAATAAGGATGTAAACATTGCTGTTCTGTTTGAAACTCATTTCAATAACTTGCATGATGTCTTTGGAAATCAACATGATTTGACTAATGCTGTATTATAGGTACTAGAAATGTTTTGTGATAATAGATTTTTATAATTATTAATAGCTTTGGGCTATTTTCTTAGGTCTCTGAGAGAAAGAGAAAAGATACATGTTCATCAAATGTTAAGAAATAAAAAGCAACAGCAAGATTATACCAGAGGACTTCAATCTGTTTGATTCTACAGGGAAATTTACATTATGGTCTGATTCATGAGACAGCAATTTGGGTGGGCTAGCAGGATGATGAATGCAGCTCCTATTCCGGGTAACTCGTGTCCTTTCTCCTCCCCTTGCTTCCAAGAGAAGTTCTTTATGAGGCTTCTAGGACAAGAAGGTAAGTCAAGACAAGACTGTAACAGAACCATCTCAGAGCTATTTCCCCTTCACTTCCCTGTCCAGAGAACAAGAGCTTTCTCAGTTTATTAGGAACACTAGACAAAGTCAGTAGTTGGAATAAAGAGTCCCAGCAATCATTAGCCTCTTTTTTTTTTTTTTTTTTTTTTCTTTTTTTTTTTTTTCGACAGGCAGAGTGGACAGTGAGAGAGAGACAGAGAGAGAAAGGTCTTCCTTTGCCGTTGGTTCACCCTCCAATGGCCGCCGCTGCAGCCGGCGCACCGCGCTGATCCTGGCAGGAGCCAGGAGCCAGGTGCTTTTTCCTGGTCTCCCATGGGGTGCAGGGCCCAAGCACCTGGGCCATCCTCCACTGCACTCCCTGGCCATAGCAGAGAGCTGGCCTGGAAGAGGGGCGACCGGGACAGAATCCGGTGCCCCCAACCGGGACTAGAACCCGGTGTGCCGGCGCCGCAAGGTGGAGGATTAGCCTATTGAGCCACGGCGCCGGCTAATCATTAGCTTCTTGCACAGAATTCAAAGAGCTGGAGGGATTACTAATTGCATCAAAGGAATCATTACCTAAAGGAACTATGAAATACTATAGTGTATGGAAAAGGACTTAGACAAAATTGAGACTTCATGTCCAATCACCAGGGCAGCTGCACTGACCAGGGCACACCTGGTGACTCCTCTAGGGAAGTGGTGCACCTGCGTGGTATGCACTGCTCTCCCAGCAAGTCACAAAGCCACCCTTCTGGTCTTTGCTTAAATGTTGTCTTCCAAGACAGCATCATCTTTAAAATTACTATCCTATTTAAAGTAACAGCCTGTAGTTACCATTTGTTAAATTA